GATGGAATTTGAAATATGTGGGAAAGTAACTAGAAACAAAACTCTTATGAACTGGCAGTAATGTGGTACTATATTGGTATTCAGTTTGAATATGAGTACATCCGGGGGCAACGAGGCGGTTATATCTAGTCGCATTACGCAGACTCACTGTTGAAAGATGCGATACGTGCATATGACATTTTACATGTTTGTCATATCACTGGTTTTTGTTTCAGTCATGTATGGGCGATAATCAGCGGTGTTTCAATGTACTAGATACCCCATTAATCTTACGAATCGATTGTTGAAACACATGTTGATTGGTACGGGAGCATGGCCCGATCGAGAAGATTTTGTAAGACACTCAGGAGCCCTCGATTTAACACCCTCACATGATAATCCACCTGGTGGCGCGACGAATTAAATCTGATTGGGTATAAAACAACCCCTCAAATAGATTGCATAATCAAGGTGGCTTGCGCCTGTGCACCATTCCCACTTGAGTTGAAACTAGCCAACTTGACAGCGCAGAGGTGATGATTGAATTACTAAAGACTGAAATGTGTAACGTCGGTCATATGAATCTCAACATCCCCGGATATCATCGTTAGCGCGATTATACCGTTGAAAGATGACATGAGTTTATTTAGTAGTACACATTGGAAATATGTTTAGTGTTCTTCGACGTTATATACCCACACTTTGTTACGATTCGCCATTCGTTCAAGTGTAGTTATAGAACTACACCCTTGCTCATGCGCTGTTAATTATTTGTACGTGCTATTTATCCAAAGTGCGCGCGTAACTTGAAAAATAATTCGAACTTTATTTTTGTGTTCCGCAAAAACAAGGTTTTCCGTCTTTTAACATCATATATATAATGATGCAAAGTCTCATATTTAATCGCTTTTATAATGTATTACAATAATAATGTCGAATGGAAAAAAACGTGTTTTCATGATACTGTTATGATAATGTGATATTGATCTAACAACATGAAAATAGTCACGTGATGATATGATGTCCGTTTCATGTTTGCTATGAAAACCAGCTCGGCGTATAATATCCGATCGGCTACTGGGAGCTTTACAATTGTTGTAATCACCACCTTATGTGCACCGTTTCTGTGTGTGTTCTTCTGTGCCAGCACATCTTCACCGGGCAAGGTTAACTACTTCGGCCGTCACCTCGCTATTGGGACGACTATCATGATTGACGGTTGATTTCGGCGAAACCGTGCGAATCGGACGATGTGTCAAAAACAGATGTATAGGATTAAATGTTCAAGAAGATCTTTTGATAAAAGGAAGGATTTACTCTTCAGATCGGGTTTAATTCCCTTTTTGGTCGTTACACTGTAAATAAACCTGTGATGAGAAAAAACAAAACATTAAGTTTTATTGTAATTTGACATTTCGTTTGTCACATTGAAATAGAGACTCTGTGAGTGGACTCGTGGTGTTTACGGAATGTGTTGCCTTTCTTTGTTGGCATGATTGAATGTATAGTCTGTTGCATTGAAAAACTGCTCTATACGAATTCCCAGATTTGAAGGACATCCTCTTTTGTGTAATATATATGGTATTAGGGACATCTCTATTCCCACAGGGCAAATTCGCAATCGAAAACAAGATGATAATATAGGGCAGTGCTTTTGAGACACCTTTGGCAGCTGCCGGTCGCCTACACTGGAAGTTGATGGTGATCAAAACCACAGTCCCCGTGCCAGTGTCAAGACCAATTCGGCTACGGAGCTCATCCTCGTGAGGTCGCCCAGTAACAAGCGCGATCGACTGGAGATGTTTTCTAAATGTAATTTAGAAATTATACTTTGGCATCCTCCACAGGATGTCTAGCATTTGAATGGATTATATTTTGGTTGTGCGCGCATTGTTCGCACACCGTGTTTGCAGGTACCACGGTGCACCGTTTCACTGAGATCATAAATGCACATTCATTGGTTGAACAAAGTCCCTACAGAATTGGACCTGAATTGAAATGTCATGTAGGGGCAATGATTTGGCCCGTTTCTCTCTCTAAATCCCATCCCCAGTGAATGTTATTATCCCATTTGCATTCATTGAGCGCAGCGCTGGAGTTACTTGTAGAGGAATTAAGCACACAGGTATAGCAATCTCCAAACCTTCCCAGCAACCGCTATACAACACGACAAACAATGATGTAATTTGTTTATTAATCAAGTTTACTGCCCCGTATACCGTGTTTTCTTATTGATCCTTTTGTATGGAATCCCACTTTATTATGCTAATTAGATTGTATTCCCGTTTGATCTGATGACACATATTGTATGGCCTGGCTGAATTTATCGACCTCAATGCGTCCCCAAACATGTCATTCAAACGACCGGCAACAAGCTTACCGTTCTCACCACCACTGCTATTTAAACTTTCGACACCACTTCTCAGGCTCTTTTATTTTTCTATTATTCACATAAAATTAATATTAAGGTGGGGTCTGTGATTTTTTGACGGACCTTATTTCATACTATGGTGAATATTTACCAGCGGGTAACCGTGTTTACCCTTTGATTAACGCTACGGGGTGACCATTGGCGCTTATTACAGAAGTATGTAAAGCGAGTTAACGGCGGAAGAATTCAATGGTCAAGCAACACTCCCAGTTAGATCAGAATCTTTTGAATTTATTTGACAGCTGAAATGATGCCAATCTCAAACGATGGCGTCGTCTTGTGCCCTGGAAATCTACTACGAAACGGTACCCTTCATTATGACTTGTGACCCGAGACGGTCTTGGCAACCCGAAGGCCAGAATGTTGCAAATAAAATGATGTCTTCGTCAGTGGCAGGGGGGATGAGTACAATAGAAGATTGTGAATGCAGATTTCAACAGTTCCCACGTATTTCCAAAGAAACATATCGGATTATAAGTTCATATGTGGTAGAAAGGTGATGATAAAATAGTGAATGCAATACAGCGCTAAGACGGTGAAGGCTTTGTTTAGTCATGAAAGCCAGCTGAAAGAGGTACGGTTTGGTAATTTGTAATAGAGACAAAACAAAGTTCGTAGATGATCGCGCTGACCTGTGTAATCATATACAAAAGCACGAGAAAAAAATAAAATTGGGGACCACCTTATTTTGTCGAGGCAGACGTATCGACATCAGACATAGACAAGAGTGTGTATTTTTATGACTGGGTAAAAATTTGCCTTCACAAAGGTAGCCACCCGATTAGAGCAGCAGACAGTAATGGGATGGGTGTCGCTCGATAGGCATTGCTGTTCATGGAGAAGAAAAGAAAAGGCAGAACAAAAAGGATTAAGCACGGAGCAGTGCATTTAATCTTGGTCGGGTATTATGATCTTAGTTTTAACATTCCCCACGTTAGCACACGGGTGTTGGTAGAAGGGCAACCATTCTCGGTAAAGCGACATAGAGACGGCTCGCCTAACAATTACCAAAGATTGCGGAGCCGCAGCTTACCCCGACACTCTGGCCTCGGCTACAGATAGGCCTATAATTGGCTCTAGGAAATTGTTTTGCGAAGGTTTAATGAGTTTTTATGTGAACGCGCATACCATTTCACGGATATTTGCTTTTGTACAGGGACGCCGCCAATTATTGCTGCCCGGTGAATCTATTGAAACAGTCCCTGGCCTTATACAGAGTCGTCCCAACGACTAGAGTGCCAGTAAGACAACGCAACGCAACACACTCGCGTCCAGTGATCGACGAATACTATACGTACTGCGAATGCGATATTCAGTTTTTATAAGGCTGCCTAAAGTTGATATAAGAACTCAGTGGACCAATTGAAGCGTCGTATTAGGTTACAGAAGAGCTACATAAGTGGCCACAGTAATACAGTCTACATATTCATAGGACGGACACTTGCATGCCACCTACATATACAGCTCACCAACGTGGACGGTGTGTGCATTGCTGTGTGACTGGAAAGCCAAGCCACAGGGCAACAACACATTGGCAACACTAGCCAATACGCCAGTGTTATAATCTGCCGAAACATAGGCAGTATGTGATAGCTTAATAAGACTTCAATCTCCGCGTCAACAGATATCATAACCCGAAGCTACTTCGGACGTCGACGAGCTCTTAGGTTTCCAACCCCACTTCATCTATTTGACCCCTACACTTTGACGAATATGATTAGTCGGTTATCACACGATACGATCGTCCTAACTACTACGATATTGTGTTAAGTAGGATTCATTCTTAGCATGACAGTCGGGGAGCCAACAGCTCTGTGTATCACATACAACGTACCTTGACACATAGACAATCTACCTGGCGAATTTAAGTAACGTTCGGTGATTTGATTGGTGACTCTCGTCTTTCCCATCTGCTGTGAAGTGTGAGAAGCGACTGTTCTTTTTTTCTGCTGGAGGGAGGCCGCTGCGTTGTGTGATTGAAAAGCCCAGATGGTGAAAGGTCACCGTCTCGACATTTATTGCATTTCACTTATGAGTTAACCTCCTTAATATGGACTGATTTCAACACATTTATTAGCCGGTACTGACAGTCTCCGCTGTCATATCGACACAGGTGCAAAGACAGTAGTGGGAAAAGTTTGCAACGTACTCTCAAGGAACTCGATAGGTTATATTTGTACATCATAACACGCCCCAACTGAGTGAGAAAACGTACTACCCGAAATACCAACAAGGTTACGACTCGAATCCAGTACGAAATTAATTACCACCAGATTGGTAGGAGTAGAAAGAAGATGGTGAAATAATAAACGGGTAGGATTCATTACAAGTCGCGGCGGCAGACACGACCAAGTGGTGAGAGTGGCGTGTAGGCACCACAGTGTTAGGAGCAGCAACAGCAAAAAGGCTAACTACAATTGGAGACACTCTTAACGTGTAGTAAACAAGGCTATCCCCGAGGCAGTGAAGACATTTGTCAATGGCAGTCTATTGTCAGCGCTGGCACTCTTAATAGCAAGACCCAAACAACGAGAACCACAGTGTCTGTCAAAAAACTTAGACAAACTAAAAGTCCAGCCCTGTTGACTAGTCTGCGAAAACAGGACGCTCGAGACAAGATTGAATGACTGTGTCGTAGAAGCAATGAGTACTATCAGCGAATCGTCCGTGATCGAAGACTGGACGGTAGTCTGTGTGATTAGAGCGGGAAACATATGTGGAGTCATTCAGATATTAATGGGTTTTGCCTTGGTTGGCACTGGACTAGCCACGTTCGTTGTACCGCCCCAGATATCACTACTAGTCGCTCCATTTTGGGCAGGATTTCTGGTGAGTAATTAGAATTGTTTCACAGCAAGCTAGCGCCGAGTAACGACTGATTTCTATTATAGGCTGACACTATTTACATTCCCCGCTGCATTCACACTTTTACTAACAAACCAAAGCTGGGAACCCCGAGGCTTCAATGTAAAGCCATGGGCTTTTCATTCTTAAAGTATTCGTTACGGCTCTCAACATTTGACATACAGCGAATCAAGTACATTACATATAGTGTACTCTCGATCGGAAAAATAAACGCGTGTAACGGGCTCTTCAGCTGACAACGATAGCGTTCAAAGAGAGGCTTATCAAAAAGCCATAAAAATCCCACGGGTGATAGTGTGAAGGAGTCCAGTCTGTTGACTCTTATCGCAAATGAGTTGTAGCTGTGTTGATTTAATCACGTGTTAGTATGTTTGCGTTACGGTGTGTTTATTTGCTTTGATTTTGTTTGATACTCACTTTATTTATTTTAGCACCTTGTTACGGAGTGGATCAGCTTCGCTAACATTTCAGTCAACACGACTCAACTTTCTCCGACACGTAACCACAGACTACTTGTTTCACTTTCCAACTCGACTATCTCATCAGGTCGTTAGCGTTAAAGTACAAACAAAAGCCACCGCTTTTCAGACCGATGATCACAACGTTATTTGTCAGCTCAGAGGTCAACTCTGCGATTCGCAAAACATGTCTTCGAAGCTCATCATTTTGCGTTATAACGTCGAAGTATTTTTTTCAATGAAATATTATATTTCCGATATAATTACATCCGCAGACACTGTTGCGTGGATATGTATGTCTTCGACTCAATATGTTGTATAGGAAGCAATCAGCAATAATTAATGAACCGTTCATCCTGCCAGGATGTTGTTCTTATTATATAATACTAGTACCCCCCTGTTTAATGTAACTTTTACGTGGTGTGGTAGTATGTGCTGCTCAACTCAAAATGAAACACATCCTTTTCCTCGGTTCACATTGAAAAATTGACATGCACATTTCACGCACGTTCAGTAAACATCGGTGATTTTTGCTTCTACACGTCCCATCGTATTACATGTTTTGAATCGTACTCATAATCAGTTTAAAGAAACGAAAAGAGTGTAGGACATACTACGATTTTATAGAGAAATCCGATTTCCTGGCAGGTTTCGATGGCAGGTAAAATGATTAATTCTCATCGTCAAAGTTGGAAAATCGGTTTACCCGAGAAAATCCACGTGACTTGCTGCTTATTAATAGTTTTTCCTATCTCAATATATTATTTTAAAATATCAGACTAGAAATTTAATTTTGGCGCGCTCTTTCTAAGTTTGATATGTGTCTGTTATTTGTCGACAATTTGAGCCCAAGATGGAAACTAATAAAACGGCATGTCATATTTACATCCAACAATGATTAACGTTCTATATATAAACAAGATGTATCTATCCAATTATTAATCGCCATATTGACAAGATTGGCAGCACTAAAATAATGAGTAGTTTAAAATTATCACATATACCAAGATCATGTAAGTCTGTAATTTGTGCTGAACTAGGAAAGCCACGCAGTAACACCGTATTCCCAGTTTGATAATATATTTCATTGAATTGCACATACATGTATATATATAGTTATACCGTATTTCAAAATTACGGAGCATGTATTGTAGATGCAACAATCTTACACTTGTCACAGTCGCATTTAATGTATCGGGCGTGGCGATGATGGATTTTTTTTTGGGGGGGGGGGGGTCAAGCTAATAATGTGTTGGTGTGATGATCAGTATCACCAGCAGTATTGGTTCTTGCAAAACAATAGGACCAGTTCAGTTGGTATCGTCGCGGTTAATTACGTCTCACATAAATTTTAACTTTTACAACCATACATCTTGTCAGCCCCTCATGAAATGAACATAATGTACAAATATTGCTGCAATTCTAGTTTACTTATTCAGATATGTTTTGGGGCATTATTCACGTTGCTTTCAATGATTTCACATTCGAACAATGTTTTCTGACGGGTTTCTACTTATTCACGTTAAACTACTGTCACATAGTGAAACTAATATTTAATGGTTGTATACAAGCAAATGAAAGCTTCAAGAATAATTACGGCACGGCGCTCTTGAAACTTCCTGTTTGTTTTACCATCGTTGTTGCAAGTTTATACTTGGAAACAATGGCGACGTCGTCACGGTGAACCGGAGAGCTCCACCAAACTCAAGAAGACATATACGATAATTCAGTAACACAAATGTATCAGCTTCGAACATATACAAACTCATGAATTATTTCAGGGCCCGGGGGATGTAAAACATTTGGAGCCGTGATTAGAGATCTAGCGATAAAACATAGTAAAGATAATATTTGCTCAACAAACACGAACATGTCGCCATTTTGAATTCGTGATCTGAAGGAATTTGAGATTCTCAAAGGATTAATTCTCCCTGGACTAATTTGTATAGCAAGTGTTGTTTGTGTAAGGGCTGTACATCTACGCACGTAGTAGCGAATGTTATAAGAAGCTATTTATTTCAACCAGACAGTTTAATATTTGATGGACCATTTCTTGTGGAGTGCAACAAGTAGTAACTGTTACCGTATCATATTTTTGAAGGTAAAAGAAAGAAGAACTTCTGGGGCGTGACATCGCAAATTGAATGTTTTCCAAACATTCAGTCTAACAGCTCATCTTTTGAAACATTTTCATTGCTTTTCTAGCATTACCACTGATTATTGGTGCGATGCGTGTTCTTTTTGGTAACTTTTCCTTTGAAACACCGAAAAGAGGGTGGCATTTCTATCTTCTAAATAAATCGGCATCGGCAAAACTATGTAATGCCGACTATCCATGTGAATGCGGTAATTAGATCCGAGATGTGGATGCACAAACAGAATCAAAATCGTCTAAATTCATTCCGGGATTCAAGATCCTAGTACGCTAACAATTTTATAGAGTCGATGATGTGGTTTTTTTTGTCCTTAAAAAATGAAACGTCCAGTTGCATTGAGTGCGGAATTGTTTGACTCTTTTCATGAAACAGATCTCGCGGTGAGAAAGTATTAAATTGGTTCTATACGAAAAAAGGAGCATGCAAATGTGCGACTTTTGTGAAGAAGCATGTGTGAAAGAGTTTTAGATTTCACTTACAAGTGTCTATGAATGCTGATCGGAAAAGAAGCTTACAGCTTTCCCTCGGGGCAAATCATGGTTTGCCTTGTATTGTCCCGTACATTTCTATATTTCACTGTTTCCTCACTGTTTTTTTTCACTTATGTGGTCCAGTGTCTGAAACAGGTGAAAATTCAGGCGATAGTTGGTGAAATATTCGAAACCACTGTGTACAGTGCATATCAATTGACTATTTTGCATAGTTTAATTTTATGAATGTATATTTCATCATCATGTTTTCGTTTGGTATACCCCAACAGTGTCTATCTTGTTCGTAACGTTGACTATTGAAAAAGCTGTTATATTAGGAAAATATCTGCCCTCTTTGATGTCTCCTAGAGTCGTTTGTATTAGGTTATTTAGTTCAGAGACACTTACTTCTCACTGTGCTCTATTCCCCTTTTTCATTTGCCCAATGTTCTTATTTACATCACGGGTATTGCTGGGTGAATGGCATTTGATTCACACATTATTATTATAGATGGCATATTCAAGTTTAGTTATTTTCAGTGAATATGTTTGTTCATTCTTACGCAACACAACATATACTACGGTAATAACTAATGATAACATATTGAATTAGAAGAATAAACATCACGTGTACATTCATATAAATAATAAATAAATCATAACATATCGAAGTTTCAGAGATGGGCGTGTCAGCCAAGCATGTGTATACGTTAAGTTATAGCAGTAATATGTTATATGATAGTGACACTAGTCTTCTGAATCATCGATTATTTATTCATTAAAGAGTTTGGACCATCTTACAATTAATATATATGATAGCTAATTGATTTTTTTCTTCAGTTTCACCCGCTGTTATTATAACTTTATATTATAACGTGTATGGGTAGATATGTCACGAAGGGTCTCAGTATGTGTTACGTATGGAATGACGTATCAGGAATATTCAGCGAGTGACGACGTGTATTTCTTGAATCGCACATTTTGTAAAATTTCTACATGTTAGGCTTACACATTGCAGTCAGGAACAAATAAATTCCCATCTACAGAATAAAAATGGCTTGGTATCCAAACTCTGACAATTTCTTGCACACAGCATTTGAATTACACATTGCGAAAAACAGGACAGTATCGGGTAAAACTGTCTTTTGATGAACGCTAAGAGTGTAAATCCAATTAATTTCTAACGCACATTCACGTGATGGACTTACACATTCCGTAACTTCTTTTTATTTGAAGATATTTGTTTATTGAGTCAAGTGTCTTAAGACTTACATTTAAGTTTTACATAAATCTCATATGAAATAGTACATAGTCATACAGTCAGAAATTTACCCCATTTCTTAATATGGGCATTTAATTTCCCTTTTTTGTTGGCAATAACGTATTCAGTCTTCTGAATATTTTGAACAGATGGTTTAAGATGTTGTAAAGAACTTATGAGCCGTTCGCCATCTGTTTGCTTTTTGGTCATAAGTATATACAATGTGTTGCTGGGGCCC